GAGTTAATCAAAAATATCTAAAGTTATTCTTTTGAATGTGGGTTTTAGTGCTCTTCAATAAACCTAAATAGAATTATTCTCTAAAATAATTAGGGAAGCCAATAATTGACCCTATTAAAATTTACATGGGATTTCCTATGTCCCGTTCGACGATGCAACACACGGTATTGTTAATGACGTCGCAAAAATTAATACTTTTGTGACGTTTGAAAAAAAAATATCTTCGACAAACAAAACTACGTTCCATCTGGTAAACATAAATCACACTTTTGAACAACACCATACATTTTTTTTATTTGTTTTAATTTATTCTCATTCAAAACTGAAGTTTTTCAGTCAACAGTTTAGAACCATAATTTATAACAACGAAAGGATGTATACATCAAAGTGTCTTTATTCAGTTCCCAGCAAAGAATAAAACGTTGAAATTAAAAAAGGGAAATGAAACTGACACCGAAGTTAACATGGCACCTTTGCACCCTCAAGGTTCAACATCCAATCAGCGGCCGCTTCCTCCAAGGATACTGTCTCGTCGGTTTCGCGAACACAGATCGGAGATGCCTGCGAGATATTCTTGATTGAGCTTTTGATTCGGGCCGATCCCTTGCTTAAGCTAGAGCTCGCATAGGAAAAAAGAAGAAGATAGAATAATAGTTATGTATTGAGTTTTGACGAAAATCTAGATATCGAAAAATATGATGCACCTTGATCACAAAGTGGGTTTTAAATTCGTTACTTTGTTAAATCATTCCACAGAGTGTTTTTAACGAACTTTTGCCAAAATAGAATTTCGTTTTTTCTCGTATAATAGACAATTCTAGAGAGATGAAGACTAATTTTTAATAAATCACACTACTAATCATCTTTCTGAATCTGGTTTAATTATAAATATGAAAAATGCTGCGTCTTTTGCCCTGGGGTCTTCTCTCGTTAGTGTTGACCCCGCGATCGGTCGCCCAATCCGACCATTATAGAGTAACGGTGCTCATCGTCTCGTTGCATTTAAATTTTCGCTCAAAACTGGAACTAATCGGTCGACGCACACCTTTGCACTTGCTCTTGTGGCGAAAGATCGCGACCCCTCCGCGCCGTCGCTCCATCTAGCGGCGCAATTTGACGTCGTGTTCGCGGTAATCGTGCCCACCGGTGACGTTTCGCTCTATTATATTTAGATGTTAACGTCGTATCGGTGTTGTCAGTTTCTACAAATAGTATTTGTCTATAATAATACCTATAATAATAGTGATATACAGTAGAGTGCACCAAAAAAAATTAAAGTCCAAAACTTGGATGTCGAATAATACGATCAATTTGCTTGAAAAAAGATGAAAGTCATATCAACAACATTTGACAAAGAACACAAACTAAGAAACATCAATAAAGAAATAAAAAACAGCTGTAGACAGGATAAAAACACGCACGTCCACGAGATTTGCACAGAATTGGAAAGACACTCGGCAACTAACGAATCTAGAGAGCTATTCAATAAGGTAAAAAATCTCTCTCGTGAGTTTCAACTACGTACACAAATTATACAGGATGAAAATGGTCGAAAGATTACTGATCCGGATGGTATTGCTGAAGTCTGGCGAAAGTACTGCACAAAGCTTTACGAAGATGGTGAATCTTCTAATAATATTAATCGTCCCAACCAATTCGAACATGAACCGGAGATCCTTAAATCAGAAGTTGAACACGCCCTAAATCGTCTCAAAAAAATAAAGCCCCAGGTATAGATGGTGTAGCTGCTGAGATATTAAAGTCAATAGGGCAACCGGTAATTGATGTTATTCATTTCATATGCAATCTGATTTGGAAGACGGGAATTTGGCCAGACGACTGGTGCAGCTCGCTATATATACCACTATATAAAAAGGGTAATCCGGCAGACTGCAATAACTATCGAATGATTGCTTTAATTCCTCATGCATGCAAAATTCTCCTGCAGATTATTAACAACAGACTCAGGCCATATCTACTACCACAGATTGCAGAAGAACAAACTGGCTTTATGCCTGGTAAGGGTACCAGAGAACAGATAGGGAACGTACGACAGTTAATAGAAAAAGCGCGAGAATTCAACATAGAAATGTATCTCTGTTTTATCGACTATTCTAAGGCCTTCGATCTAGTCAAGTGGCAAAAACTTTGGCAAATACTCAAGGAAATGGGGGTTCCTGATCACCTTATTCTACTTATCCGACAACTATACCAACATAATTACGGACTTATAAGAATTAATGATGTCACATCAAATAGATTTCAAGCAATGAAGGGTGTCAGGCAGGGGTGTGTTCTCTCACCCCTATTGTTCAATATTTATACCGAGTACATAATGCGTGATATTCTCGATAACTGGCAAGGTGGAGTATCTGTGGGGGGAAGGAAAATCAATAATCTAAGATATGCCGACGATACACTAATCATAACATCAAGTGTGGAAGAAATGGAATTTATTATGCAACGTCTCCAAGAAACTAGTACAGAATTTGGGCTAAAACTTAATCCTAACAAAACTACTGTCATGATTGTGGACCGACAAAACAACAACCAACCTCACGTGGGAAACATAGCTGGATTTAAGGTGGTTAATAAATACTTATATCTGGGATCGCTAATCGACAACAGCGGCTCATGCGAAGGCGAAATAAGACGTAGAATTGCGCTGGCTAGAACAGCCGTAACTAAATTAACTAAGATATGGAAAGATACAGCCATCACTAAGAACACCAAACTAAGACTGCTGAACTCGCTTGTTTTCCCGATTGCTACGTATGGGGCGGAAACATGAACGCTGAAGAAAAGCGATACCAGGCGAATAGATGCTTTTGAAATGTGGGCATATAGACGTCTGCTACGTATACCTTGGACAGCCCATCGTACGAATAAGTCAGTTCTCCAAGAACTAAACTCACAACTCAGCCTCAAAAAAAAAAAATAAACCGATGTTTTCTGACATATATTGGTCACATTGCTAGAAGAACGGACTCACTGCAGCTGCTAATAGTCGAGGGAAAGGTAGAGGGAAAGCGACCACGAGGAAGATCACCCAAGAGATGGGTTGATCAAACTAAAGACCTAATCGGCCAAGGCCTTCATGAAACCGTCAGCATGGCTCAAAACAGAGCGGACTGGCACAATACGATAAAAACCGCTACAGGAACATCATAGTCACTAATCCCTCTTCAGGGAAACGGACCAAAGAGAGAGAGCACCAAAAAAAAATATTTTCTTTCTTTTTAGTTACCGTAAAAATATAGTTGAGGATGATGAAAAAAATATGTGTCTCATCGTGATTTTCTATTTCCAATTTAAATGTTCTAACAGATCATTTTGTAAAAATCAATATATATTCATACAGGAAATTGAACGGTCTTCAAAAAAGGTCTGATATGAATTTTTATTTAATCGACTCGTTTGTAAGTTATTGAAGGTTAAAGTTCAACTTAAATCGTATATGATACCACAGATTAGGTATACTATATGTATACAGATAAAAATCTTATCCCTAATCCGTGGTACAAAAATTGTTTTTTATGACGATGTGCAAATGAGTAAAATTTTCTGTGCGCAAAAATAAACTCGCAAAAATAACAATAAACAGCGTAATAGAGAGATATCGCTAAACCGAATAGCGTGCATGGACGTTAATAAGGCCAGGTGTTATTTCCTTTACGTGAGTTGGTATTAATTCCCTTCATTTATAGTTATCGGATTGGAAAGAATTCTGTTCGCGTCGCGTCCGCTATTTAAACTTAACCTAACTTTGAGTTTAAAACTTTGAAGTTGTTTTGTTTACTAGGTATTTTAAAACTAAAGGGCTAAAATGTTTATTTCCAGTGCTTTATTGTTCAACGTCTGCCAGTGGGTTTAGGGCAACAAGCAACAAATTCTTTTAGAAGGGCTAAGTGGTCATCTGTTGTAAACCTAAGCCTCTTTATAGGTTCTTTAATATTGGAAGAGGTGGAATCCATATTTTGGGCCATATGTATTTAATTAAAACTAATCCCAGCTACTTAAATATCAAATTACCTAATAAAACTAAAGTAATAATTCAAAACAATTCAAACATAACCTAAAATAAAAGATCTCGGTTGTCAAATACCCGCACACGCCCATTTAAGCAATTTTTAAACGTTATTTAGAAATAGAGCTTGGTGTAATTGATCCGCAAATTACCTCTGGCGGTAACGTTATTAGCGGGTATTGCGTTAAAAATTGACTCGCGCATATCGTAGCCATGATAAGGTACGTGTAAACACTGCATGACGCTATTCGGTTTTCCGATATCTCTCTAAGAACTGTGCCGGTCAGGCGCTATGCATAATTTTAGAGGCCATAAGTGGGCGTGCTATGTGCGCAAACTAGTAACCCAACTAGTGCCCGATTCCGAAAATTGGAACCACGAAAAACAATAAAGAAAAAACAAAGTTTATAATCTGTATAATCTGTGATGATACCTTCCACAATTTTATATATTTTATCATGAAATAAAGACTCTGAATCATTAAATATCATATTTTATGTTTTTGAGCTATTATTTATTGATAAAATTTGATATTTTATGTTTTGAGCTATTTCGTGATAAAATATAAAAAATTGTTATCATATACGATTTGAAGTTGAACTTTAGCCTTCAATAACATTCAAACGATTCGAGTCGGTTAAATGAAAATTCATATCAAATCTTTTTTGAAGACCGTTCAATCTCCTATAAAAATATGTATTAAGTTCGCGGACTTTACCTTTCGTTCGTTTTCCCACACAAATCTAAACTCAAAAGCGAAGTCCGCGGACTTGGCCTCCTACGGGCTTAGTCCGCCAAAGGCTTGGCCTGCCAAAGACATGGTCTTGCTCATAAACGCAAAGATTTCATCCGAAGGCCGGGTCCGAAGACCGGATCGGCAGGCCTGGCTTTTCCGTGTAATAATTAAATTTAGTTTCTACTGTTGGAAATATGTTGTCATAAATAATTTTATAGTAGATTTATTGGTACTTACCGGTATCCATAGCAACTAAACTAAGCGTATATTCATCCTGTATTTCTCTATCTAAAGCTCGTAACAGAGATATATCTCCAGTTGAAGCGTTGATACGGAAAATGTCAGTGTCGCCTTCTTTTATAAAATATCTGAAATAAATATATAATATTAAATAACATAATATTTTAAAGATATGAGAGAGAATTTGATTAAGGTCGCGTCAGCATCTAGTACCATTTAGCGACAGTTCATTAGTTATTTTAGTTATATTTTGAATGTTGAAAGTGTGTCATGTGATTCGCAAAAACTAATATTCATTAAAATAAAATCTCAACAAAGATTGGTGAATCATAGTTTATAATATTATGCATAATTTTTGTAATAGGATCTTGTCATGAGATTTTTTTGAACTTTATTCAAGAAATATAAATAATTGATACAGGGCGAGCCTTAAATAAATGCATATATTTTTAGGGGTTGTATATTTCGATCACAGAAACACGTCTATGAGCTTTTTCCCGCGATTTTTTTTAACATTTGCAATTTCTCGAAAAAAAATGAAATATTATTTATAATTTCTAGTTCAAAAACATAATATCCCGGATATTTTGGACTTATCTGACGAAAGGTACAGAGACAGTATGTTTCTTTTATCGAGATCTACAAGCCCTAAACATATTTGCACTTATTTAAGATTCACCCTGTATCCCTGTGTAATTCTAATTCAAATGGCTAGAAATACAGATAGATTCAAGTCCAATAATACAATTATTTTAAAGCAAGGAATATATTTATAAACTCTTTACGACTTACATTTTTCTTTCCTTCTTATGATCTTAACTTCTTTGAATATTTAACTGTCGTAACTATAGTATTTAACTTCATTTATACAATTAAACAAAGCTATATTTTGAGACAAATTTTATCATACACCAAAAAATCTCATTAAAATCAAACATCAAAACATTTTTTCTGTCTAATCCTACACTTACCTGACCAGATTATTGAATGGTGGAGTGTCAGCGTCATAAGCTTGAACTGTGATGACATAACCTCCATTAGGTGGAATGACATTTTCCATGACATACGCCAAATACGGAGAATCCAGGAACGTTGGCGGATTATCGTTTATATCCGACACCTTTTTAGTGAAAAAATAAATTAATAGAAACATTTTTTTTTAAATTTTTATCGTTTTTATACCAAAATAGTGATTTCAGCTGTATCAGACCGAACGACTCCTTCGTTGACGTCACCAGCACAGTCTTCTGCTTTTACTGTCAAAACATACTTGGATCTTCGTTCGTAGTTCAGGTTTTTGGCAACTCTAACCACTCCAGTGTCTTCGGCTATGCTGAAATCCCTATTGGCGTCGCCTTGGCTGATGGAGTAACGAACACGGCCATTTAGGCCATCGTCTACGTCAGTTGCTGATACCTGAAACATTAATTTAAAATAGAATAAGAGTTTTAATTTTTTTTCCACAGCAACTGTTAAATTGCTTTATATCTATCAAAAATAGTAGATAAAATAGTACTTTAACAGCAAAAGTGTAAATTAAATGATACTTTAACAGCGAGGATAGGTTAAAAACTTTATTTCTTCTCGCTCGTTTTTTAATTTGCTTCCATTTTTGAAAATTTTTGTATTCCTTTTCATAAGTTATTCGGATATGGCGTTTGTCGCCTCAGCCTGAATATCTGTTGGTAATTTACTTATTTCGTTTTGAGCCATTTCTGGCTCCAATTCAATTAGCAATCGACACGAAAGAGAATTAAAAAATATTGACTCAAAACTGACAACTAAAGAGACAGCTTTATTTATTTGTCCAATTTCATAGAAACCAATGCCAACCCAGCACAATATTTTTTCTACTCGTAATAAATTCCTTGAAATAATAATTTCTGACTATTTTTTAAAACGTAACTCGCTATGGAAAAAGATATTGTTTTATACACGACGATAAAATTGAATTATCGACTTCCGAAATAAATTCACTCGCGATTTCATAAAATACCATTTTATCGTCTTGTATAAAAAATAAACCAAAATATTATTTTGTACCTGTAAGACCATAGCTCCGATAGAAGCGTTTTCAGCTATGCTAGCACTGTACTGTTTTGGGTCAAACACCGGACTGTTGTCATTTTCGTCCAATACTCGAACTAGAAGAGACATATTGGCACTTTTGGGTGGGTCTCCTCGATCTTTCGCTGTGATCAGTAAGGAGTAGTTGTTCCGAAGTTCTCTGTCTATGTTACCTGCCACTCTGAGTACACCATCAACTTGACCCAGAGAAAACACAGGGTTGGATGAAAGAGAGTACTCAATGTAACCATTTCGACCTGTAAAAACAGTTTTTATTTTATTTTATTTAATAGATATCGTAAGCTATTTGGATGAGCTACTAAGGGTGGCTGCAACGACCAGCCGAGCAGGATGACCGGATGTTGTTGCAGCCACCCTAAGACGTATTGTTTAAATAATATTTTTAGCACTTATTTAAGATTCACCCTGTATCCCTGTGTAATTGTAATTCAAATGACTAGATAGACAGATAGATTCAAGTCCAATAATACAGTTATTTTAGGGCAAGGGATATATTTATAAACTCTTTACGACTTACATTTTTCTTTTCTTCTTATGATCTTAACTTCTTTGAATATTTAACTGTCGTAACTATAGTATTTAACTTGTATTAACATTTTTACAATTAAACAAAGCTATATTTTGAGACAAATTTTATCATACACCCAAAAATCTCATTAAAATCAAACACTAAAACACTTTTTCTGTCTAATCCTACACTTACCTGACCAGATTATTGAATGGTGGAGTATCAGCGTCATAAGCTTGAACTGTGATGACATATCCTCCGTTGGGTGGAATGACATTTTCCATGACATACGCCAAATACGGAGAATCCAGAAACGTTGGCGGATTATCGTTTATGTCCGACACCTTTTTAGTGAAAAAATAAATTAATAGAAACATTTTTTTTTTAATTTTTATCGTTTTTATACCAAAATAGTGATTTCAGCTGTATCAGACCGAACGACTCCTTCGTTGACGTCACCAGCACAGTCTTCAGCCTTTACTGTCAAAACATACTTGGATCTTCGTTCGTAGTTCAGGTTTTTGGCAACTCTCACCACTCCAGTGTCTTCTGCTATGCTGAAATCCCTATTGGCGTCGCCTTGGCTGATGGAGTAACGAACACGACCATTTAGGCCATCGTCTACGTCAGTTGCTGATACCTGAAACATTAATTTAAAATAGAATAAGAGTTTTAATTTTTTTTCCACAGCAACTGTTAAAATTGCTTTATATCTATCAAAAATAGTAAATAAAATAGTACTTTAACAGCAAGGGTGTAAATTAAATGATACTTTAATAGCGAAGATAGGTTAAAAACTTCATTTCTTCTCGCACGTTTTTTAATTGCTTCCATTTTTGAAAATTTTTGTATTCCTTTTCATAAGTTATTCGGATATGGCGAAGTACTTTGGATATGGCGTTTGTCGCCTCAGCCTGAATATCTGTTGGTAATTTGTTTATCGTTTTGAGCCATTTCTGGCCCACCAATTAGCAATCGACATTAATGAAAGAGAAATTAAAAAATATTGACTCAAAACTGACAACTAAAGAGACAGCTTTATTTATTTGTCAAATTATATAGAAACCAACGCCAACCCAGCACAATATTTTTTCTACTCGTATTAAATTCCTTGAAATAATAATTTCTGAATATTTTTTAAAACGTAACTCGCTATGGAAAAAACTATTGTTTTATACACGACAATAAAATTGAATTATTGACTTCCGAAATAAATTCACTCGCGATTTCATAAAATACCATTTTATCGTCTTGTATAAAAATAAACCAAAATATTATTTTGTACCTGTAAGACCATAGCTCCGATAGAAGCGTTTTCAGCTATGCTAGCACTGTACTGTTTTGGGTCAAACACCGGACTGTTATCATTTTCATCCAATACACGAACTAGAAGAGACATATTGGCACTTTTGGGTGGGTCACCTCGATCTTTCGCTGTGATCAGTAAGGAGTAGTTGTTCCGAAGTTCTCTGTCTATGTTCCTGCCACTCTGAGTACACCATCAACTTGACTCCAGAGAAAAACACAGGGTTGATGAAAGAGAGTACTAATGTAACCATTTCGACCTGTAAAAACAGTTTTTATTTTATTTTATTTAATAGATATCGTAAGCTATTTGGATGAGCTACTAAGGGTGGCTGCAACGACCAGCCGAGCAGGATGACCGGATGTTGTTGCAGCCACCCTAAGACGTATTGTTTAAATAAGATTTTTAAATGGAATAACACATTTAGTTTAATGTAATTTTTGGAAACTAAGCTTAGTTCTTTAGATGAGCTACTAAAACATATTGTTAGATGAGATGTTTGGATGAGCTAACACATTTATTTAGATGAGCTACTTAGAAGAGTTTCTATATTGGAGTGTTTATGGACGTTTTCGACACAAAGTCTTTTAACTGACATTATGAAAATTTTACAGTAGAGCAAAAAAGACGTCTTTTAATGTGATCTAAAACCTTACTTTTAGGGGGACTTTTTGAACACTGGGAGGACTGTTAGATCACACTAAAAAACGCTATATTGCAAAATTAAAAAAAAAATAATCAAATAATAAATACTTTGTGTGGAACACGACGTTATATGAGTTATTTAGAAGAGCTACTAAACTAAGTTGCTAAGCTAAAAGGCTTAGCAACATGGCTGATGTAAAAAGCGATTAGTTGGGTTGGTTAATCAATATCATCATTAATGTCATACCTTCATCTCTATCAATTGCCTTTATGGCCATGACCATTGTATTTTTGGCAATGTTCTCAGTGACTGTTGTTTCATTTGAGGTGACAAACTCCGGAGCCATGTCATTTACGTCTTTTATAATCACGGTAACCTGAAAAAAATATAGAAAAAAATAAATAAATGTTATGCCTTGTAATGTTCCTGTCGACTCGAAATTGATCAACAATAAAATATTATATTTGCAAAATATGAGAAATCATTGAAAAGAAAAATTAAAGAAGGATCATAATAATTATCATAAAAATCTTTTGTCACTTCCGTTTGACTGTTTTACTTGATATATTTGAATTTATTTGAATTTTTGCAGATTGGTTGGGCTTAAGTATCTGAGTTTATTTTATGATCTTTTTTGTTTATTTTATTATTGGTTTTATGCGGAGTGAGTTACACATTTGGAGGGACATTGTGTCAGTACTTGAATTAGAGTGAGATTATTGTGAACCTTAGAAAGACGTTTCAAAAATATTTACTTGTGCAATAATGGAACAATTTTTCACTAAATAATTCTAAAATATGAATCAAATTAATTTGAGTGCCGGGTTATAGTGGCATCTAAGGCAACGAAAAAGCCACAAAAACACATTAGAAAAACAAGCATGGTCAAAAACCTATCTTGGTTGTAGAGAATCAAAGCCAGTACGGGAAATACCCAGATGTATAGCCAGTAATGGCAACAAAACTCTGGATCAAAGAGAACCAGACTGGAGAATCGAACAGAGGTATAAGGCCTTCGTAGTGCAATAGATCTCCAGCGCATATGGCTGTCAAGTGCCACCTGAAAAAGCTCAACCTGTATCAAGGAAGCCTTTGCGGCAGACTGTGTGATAAAGATCCTAAAACAGCACGTAATTTGTCACTACGGGGCTCTGGATCGCAAGCTACATGTTCTATTTGGAGCATACCCTTAAATATTTCCGTAAATCATATAACATAAGTAACAAATCTTCAAAATACTTCAGAATTGTTGGTAGAATTGGAAACGATGTGTTAGATTGAGCATGGAATAAAAATATAAATAGTTCTTCTCTATGTACGCATTGCATTGATGGTTTATTGTTATGACAATAATTCTTAGTAAAAAATGAAACGATGGATATGGAAGTATATACTGCTCTTTCCGAAATGCGTTTTAATCTAACTTAAATATCGTTACAGACCGTAGCGCTAGTGTAGACGCGGCTTAACTTGCGTCTTTTGACCTCGCCATCTCCCCTGATGCTGCTCTCGCGGCGATATCATTTCCAATAATCCAATCTTCCATCTCATCAAAATCTATCCTAATCAGATTTGAATTAACATACGGCTCGTGACGCACTTGTCCTCAAAACTTCCAAGGATCGTGACTCGCAAGGACTACAGTGGCGTAGCCGGCGAGAGGAAACCTCTTGTTAAAAATCTCTTAAGAGTCTGTTACCCTGTACTGTTCGGGTCGCTCTCAGGGGTCGTAGCGTGGACGAAGGAAATATATATTATATTTCAGAAATCTGCCTAAGGATTAGCCCGATCCTGTCATGTTAAGCCATACTCAAAATTCCGGCTTTGATTAAGGCTTGATTAAGGTTTGCAGAGCTTCAGCATTTGCCATAAAATAGCGAGCCATTTGTGACAAAACCATATAAATTTTATATCACTGTAATCACAAAACTTCGATCTTTGTCGGTATTGTAACGGAATTTTAAATTATTTCTTTATTTTCGAGAAGATTTAGTCCAAAAATAAGGTATGTTTTGTTAACGTTTCACCATCAAAATCTTAAAAATAAAGAAGTTATCTACAAACGTGCTACAATATCGACATGGTATAATCCTTTATCTATAATTTCCTTCTTGATTTGTGTAAAAATACCCTGCCAGTTTTACATAAAACGTTAAATGCCGAACGCTTATTTTGCTTCTTTGTTGGACCAGTATGACGAATGAACTCATAGGAAAAATCTGATCAACTAAACTGAAAAAATCTGATCAGCTGAGTAAAAAATATCTTCAATCCTATAGCGTTAAAACCTCGATACATCATAATTCCAAAGCTGTGTTCGCTTCTCTGTTTATATTTGCATTGGAAATTCTGACGCCTTACCATAATTTACGTATTTACCATGTAGTTTAGCGTTTTGTTTTCCAAACGGACGCTAAAAATATATCAGTGATGTGGTTATTCTTGTCTGTCGCCTAAGGAATACCGAGAAAGGCTAATAGATATGCACGGCCAGACATTTTTATTGACTGTGTAACAGAAAAGGTGTTACAGAATAAATAATAACGTGGAACTAATTGTTTAAACGTTTGATACAAGAAAATAAGCTGTTGTATTAATCGTGTATCTAATCGGAAATTATAGAGTGTATAAATTATTTCTTTTGCTGCAGGTACAAAACGTAGGTACCTAAAATATATGTAGCTATCAGCAATAATTGAAAGAGTTGGCAATACTATGTTAGAGAAAATATTATTTTATCATATACAGAAAGTTTGAGAATTTTTGGATTTACCTCATTTACATGTCTAGCATCAATCGCGCTGGCCGATTCGTACGTAAACTAGTCTTTTATTTAGTTCCTCTAGATCCGGATCCGATACCATACGGCTGGTACTCCCCACCTCTTGTCAAAAACATGATGAATTGAAACCATATCGATATCTGTTACCGTTTCGGTGTTACGGGGTGTTTTCAAAATATGCATTTTTAACAAATCGCTGTAACTTTTTGCTATGGAAAATTTTGTATTTTTATGAAAACATTTCCAAAGCACCTTTTTACGTAGAATTTAATGGTTTAAGTATATATTTTTTTAAATTAATAATTTAAGAATTATCAACAGAAAATTTGATTCTTTATATGGGACACCCTGTATATTTTTAATTTATTGAAAAGAATTTAAAATTACCTTTCCAAAAATATAACACACTTGATATTTTGCTCGATTCCTTTTCGGATATAGAGTATATAAAATTCGCTTGCTTTAAAAAATAAGTAGGCATCAATTAAAACGAAAATAATATTTGCTGTGAGAGATGCAGAATTTTATAACAATTTAAAATATATTTAACCAACATCAACACATTTAAACTATATCTAATAGCAATAAAATTAATAAAAATAAATAGCAAACTAAGATATGAGATTTTGCTACAGGTGTTCGACATACCGACCGTCTTGTTATGAACAGACGGGGCAGTTTTTGAACATTTCTCGCGGAATTCATTAATTCAGTGGGGATAAAAGATACCCTCTCATAACTTCTAAGTATTTCTAATTCTTGTCTAGGTTATACGGAAGAATTAGGAACCTTTATTCTTCCGCAAATATATCCATAGGATTAGATCCATGGGCACTAAGTCAGGCGGCTTCGACGGCCAACGGCTGGGATCTTGGTTAGCTATTCAATTATTCTTGAAATTGGCTGCAAAAATTTGCTGATAACTTCAGCGTTCAGAGGCGGTGCGTTGTCTTGCTGGAAAATTGTTTTCGAGTTTCATTAAGGGCATGTCATCAATAAGTGGTCCAAAGCTTACTAGTTAAAAGTGGAGAACTTTTAAAAATTTTGTATTTCGAAGGGGATTAAAGCAAAATATCAAGTGTGCTATATTTTTGAAAAGGTAATTTTAAATTCTTTTCAGTTGATTAAAAATATAGAGGGTGTCCCAAATAAAAAATCAATTTTTCTGTTGATAACTCTTAAATTATTAATTTTAAAAAAATTATACTTAAACCATTAAATTCTACGTAAAAAGGTGCTTTGGAAATATTTTCATAGAAATACAAAATTTTCCATAGCAAAAAGTTACAGCGATTTGTTAAAAATCCACATTTTGAAAAACACCCCGTAACTCCGTTGTATTTAAAAAATTGAGACAGCACTGGTGCAACGTTTTTTCTTAAATGTAAAATTTTATGTGCCCATCGGATTTTGCAACAATATTTTATGCCTTTTGCGTTAACTTAAAAAACTATTCGAAATTTATAAATAATTGTGTAAAAATAAAAAATGAAAAGTTAAAAACAAAATTAATAAACAATCAATTAAATCTAAAACAATTAGAACAAAACCTAAAGAAAGTTTCAGCGGTATAATCTGTATAGTTGACTTTATTAGTTAATTTAATTATTTTTAAATAAACATTTTTGTTGGCAAAATAAAACACTAATTCACCACAACACACCAAAATACTTTGAAATATAACTTACTTAGTATACACAAGCATAAAAAAGACTTTACCCCTACAAGTGCGCTAATCTCCATAAACATTTTACTTTTAACACTGGACGCGCCTTTCGTTAACTAGCTTAGCATCATCAGCAGATGATGAAAACTGATGGTTAGCTTCAAATTTATGGTTAGCGGAACGAGCGTCCAGTGTTAAAAACAAAGTGTTTTGGTGTACTGCGGTGAATTAGTGTTCTATTTTGCTGTTGTAACACCAAAGGTTTCAAACGGACGCTAAAAATATATCAGTGATGTGGTTATTCTTGTCTGTCGCCTAAGGAATACCGAGAAAGGCTAATAGATATGCACGGCCAGACATTTTTATTGACTGTGTAACAGAAAAGGTGTTACAGAATAAATAATAACGTGGAACTAATTGTTTAAACGTTTGATACGAGAAAATAAGTTGTTGTATTAATCGTGTATCTAATCGGAAATTATAGAGTGTATAAATTATTTCTTTTGCTGCAGGTACAAAACGTAGGTACCTAAAATATATGTAGCTATCAGCAATAATTGAATGAGTTGGCAATACTATGTTAGAGAAAATATTATTTTATCATATACAGAAAGTTTGAGAATTTTTGGATTTACCTCATTTACATGTCTAGCATCAATCGCGCTGGCCGATCCGTACGTAAACTAATCTTTTATTTAGTTCCTCTAGATCCGGATCCGATAACATACGGCTGGTACTCCCACCTCTGCCTACCATCGGGCTACGCGCGCTGGCCGATCCGTCGCCGTCGCATATTATTATCCGGAAACTTCGGCAGCATATTTTCTGCGGATAAAAATAAGTAAAAAAGTTCGTATAAATGTAGGTGCTAAAATGCTTAGTTTCGGAAATACAGGGTGTAGAAGTTTCATTTTTATTTTGACTTTTTCAAAATAATTTCTGAAGTAACGTAAATATTTGAATGAGAATTCGTGCCTGGGGGTTTTTAACATGAAAAATTTGAATTTGATGTCAATATGACTCCTACATGTAGGGGGCGCCACCTACATATGCTTTAACTGTTTTGAAGAGTAATAACTTTTCGTCCGTACCTGTATAAGACTACTGAGTGGAAAAATATATATTTACGTGACTTTTTACGTAAAAAATGTCTCTTGGTAAAAATCGCTACGAGCAACAGTTCTCAAGATATTTTAAATGGAAATAGTCAAGACATGTCATTATTGACTAAAAATAAACACGTTGAGTAGATAGTTATTTGACTAAAATAATAAATTTGGAAAATTTTTATTTCTTTAAATTAATCATACATTTATCTACGAAAAAATGATAATAAAACAGTTCATGTTCAACTTTTTGCACATTTCAAATTTATGATTTCCGTCTAATAACTGTTTAGTCAACATACTTATGTCAATAATGATAGGTATTGACAATTTGGATTCCAAATATCTCGAGAACCATTACTCGTAGCGGTTTTTACCAAGAGCCCTTTTTTACCTAAAAAACATCGTCAATTTATATTTTTTTACTCACTTGTTTTATACAGGTACGGACGAAAAGTTATTACTCTTCAAACCAGTTAAAAAATATGTACGTGGCGCCTTCTACAAGTAAGAGTCATATTGACATCAAAATCAAATTTTTCATGTCAAAAAACACCCAGACACCAATTTCCATCCAAATATTGATGCTATTTCGTAAATTATTTAGAGAAAATCGAAGAAAATATGAAATTTGTACACCCTGTATCTCCGAAACTAAGCATTTTAGGACATATAAGAACTTTTTTACCTATTTTTATCTACAGAATATGCTGAGGAAGTTTCCGGAATACAGTTCGGACCACCCTGTATATCGGTCACAGTCTCGATCCCGGAATAGGTCCTTAGGAACTAGTCCCTTTCATTCCGGGGTCGGAATAGTTCATTGGAACTAGTTCGTTCACGAACTACACACCTCTAGCTCAAATAGCTCACGCGGAGAAAACGTTACAAACGTTTTAACAAGTTAATCCACGAAGTTAATAGGAAACAGCTAAGTTCATACCAAAAAAAAACTGCTGTTCATCTACTCTACAACGTTAAGAAAATAAATATTATTGACTGTCAAGACGAGGCATACCTCTTAAAATATAATAATAAAAATCATCGAACGTCGAAACGTTCTAAAAGGAGGCAAAAGTAAACACTGCAGAAGGTGCCAGTTCATTGAGGCACTGACGAGTGTTTGGTGTGTCAACAACGGGTCCAGCAGTATTTGTACAAGGCGTTAGAGCGACCGCACTGAATCAACAGAGACAGGCAACATCTTTGGAGATGATGAAGATACTCGAGAAAAAAACGAGATAGGGTATGGGTTCGTCCGGGTTGTTGTTAAATGTTTTTTAATCAAACGTGTACACAGCAATATGCGATGTTTTGATTAAATATGTATTGCCTTTTAATCAAAATAAGGTCTACATGGTTCTAGTTGTTTCTTTTTTAGATTAAGAGCTTATTACGCTGTACTTTCGGGTCGCTCTTTTTTTTTAGATTTAAGAGGTGAAGGGGGAAACCTGCAACAGGTACTCGCCTGGTTTTCCCAGTTACTATATGCCAGACGAGTTATGTGGGATTTTTACCTCACTAAAACCTAACCTTTTAATAAAATACACACGTGCTTTGATTAAGGCTTGATTGATGTGCTACAATACGGATATAGTATACTCCTTTATCTTTAATTTCCTCCTTTATTTGTTTAAAAATACCTAGTCAGTTTTACATAAAACGTTAAATGCCGAACGCTTATTTTGTTACTTTTTTGGACTAGTGAAACAGATTCTTAACTGATCAATTTTTGTGACACCTTTGCATTTTTAAAAAAATTCTTGAACTTAAAGAGCATAATTTTTTTTCCAAAAATATTGCTATTAAATATTTTTTTCTATTATATATTTTTATAAACGAGAATTTTACTACACTATCTGGTAAGTATTGTATATTGTATTCATCTATAGATATTTTATAAAATCGATGGTTGATCATACCAAACTACCTTTTTTGTCCTTAAAAATCAATAAAAAAATTTAAAATTAGAAACTCACTTGTACTGTAGATGACAGTCTTTTTTCGGGTGCCACAGCTCTGTCAGTAGCAGTAACCACCAAAGTATACAAACTGATGGTTTCTCTGTCCAAGTCTCTTTTGGTGGTGATGGTACCATTCTCAGCAATTTGAAAATCTTGATTGGGATCTCCCGAGGTGATGCTGTAAGATATTTTCCCATTCTCACCTGTAACGAAGAAAAAATGTTCTCAAAATGACAATAGACTGAATATTCTGTATGCTTTTTATTTTTGGGAAATATAAACTAATGTCTTTTTCACATGTGTAATATTTTTGATACATTAAATAAATAAATGCCTTTATTGTCAAAAATTTTTTCAATTTGTAGACAAAGGTAAACTAAACAAACAAAGTAAACAAACAAGGTACACAAACAAACAAACAAAAGATAATACAAAACATTATACAAATAATTTTTTATGAATCGAATTAGGAATAATATTTGCAACAAAATTTGTAATAATATCAAAATCAGGCTATACGTGCCTCCGGCGCCCATTTTTTCTACTCGTAATAAATTTCTTGAAATAATAATTTCTGAATATTTTTTAAAACGTAACTCGCTATGGAAAAAAAATATTGTTTTATACACGACGATAAAATTGCATTATCGTCTCCCGAAACTAATTCACTGGCGATTTCATCGCTCGTGAATTAATCTTTTCGGTGGACGATAAAATACCATTTTATCATCTTGTATAAAAATTAACTATTAATACATTAAATTTCTGCTAACTTTCTTGATATCAAGTTTTCTGTTTTTATCTTGATATCAAGTTTTTACCGACTTATGATCTACTAACGTGTTTTTTTTTCACATGTTTCCACATCGTTGCACCACTGCTTGAATGACTGACAAAGAGACGGGATGCAACGTTATTTTTTTAGGATAAATTAAAATTCAATACCGGCAACCGGTCGCGCATTAGAAATGCAGTTTTGCCGCAACAAAGATAGACGGCGTAAGCGAGATCGAGAATTCGTATTCGACTCGAAGAATGGACATTAAGGTCGTGTATTAGCTATTATTATAATATGCCTATCCTTACAAATATGTTAGATCACCTTGAGAGAGCCTAGATCGTTGCTTAGGACTGGCCAGTAAAATTATTACTTTAGGCCATTGATTATTATTCAGCTGCGCAGAACGAGTTTTTTTCTCAAATTGTTTTTTTATGTGTACGTGTTGAATGTATGTATGTATATTTTTATTTGCCTTTTCTTTTTGATGCTGTCGATAATATTATTCTAGGAAAAAACCACTGGTCTTGTTTAGATGGGTATTTTGTAATTATAAAGATAAAGTGGATTAGTGCATGTTTATTGGTTAAAGTTATAAATAGGACAGTCAAAGTTACCTATATGCGTTTATATTCCTTGATTTTATGCAAATGGAATTCCAGTGCATTATACCCCAATATAAAAACTATAATAATATACAGGGTGTCCCAGGCAGAGCGTGCATTAAAAGTTTCTAAAGAACTACAATATCTAGATCAGAGATTTTTGCATATTATTGTTTTACAACGAGATCAATCGATTAAAAATATTTTCAATATGGCGGCAGTTGACAGCAACTTTTTTATTTTAATAAAGACAACAGTGCATCCGATCTGTCGTTCAAACGGTCGCATCAAAATTGTGTTGTACTACCTGCAGTACGATAAATTGTATACGAGATATATTTTTACAAGTACACTTTTCAAACTCTTAAGCAGCCAGTATTTATAATATAGGAAATTCAAATAATTCGTTTTCTGACAGATGGAAATAAATTGTCTGATTGTTTAATACCTAATGTCCAAGGACTAGATAAAATCGAGAAAAATATACGATTTCAAACTAAATCTTAAAACTCAAAAAGTAACGAATTGGAAAACCAATTCACTAGCGAAATAATAAAGTGGGTTTCCATTTGAAAAAAATGATTTATGATAATTTTTTAATTGCACAATTCGATGACAGCTACCGCCATTATTATATGTGATTCAAACAATTTAATTTTTGAAATAGATAGTCATATGTCCTCTCTTTATGCTGTGGTAATCACTAAATTTGACTTTTAAGCTATACACATTTGACAGGTAGTTTTTTTCGACCAAAAATTTTAAATATTTTTTTTTCCCAAAAACGGTTAGGTATAGAGTGTTTAATATCAATATATTCATAGAATTTTACAGAGAATTTAAGTATGTAATAAAAAATGGGGACACCCATTTAAAATAAGAAAGAAGAAAGTGGCTGTTGGACAACCAAACCAAACCAAACCAAACCTATCGAGGGTCACAAGGCAGGACATCGTATGATTTTTTTATAAAATTATATTATTTAAAAAAAAACGTTTGCAATATTTTCATAAAAATCATTCGAAATATTTTATTTGGTAATAGAGCATGGATATTTCGTTTCTATAAGATAATACATAATTTATTTAAAAAAATAATTTTAAAAATTAAAAAAATTGGGAGTAAAATTTTACTCCCAAATAGAATAGAACACATTCTTATCCGTAAATCAAGCAGTATTAAAAGTGATAAACTCAGTAACCATCAATTCCAAGTTGGTCAAAGAGTGCCTACAGAAGCTGCTGAAAAAAAAACTGCTGAAAAAAAACCTCATTGATATGTTTCTGGAGTCGAAATATGCATATGTATATTTCGACCCCAGAAACACATCAAGAGTTTTTTTTTAATTTTTGAATTCTTTATATTCCTTTAAGTTCATTCTTACACTGCCATTATTTGAGTTCTTTTCTATTCTGTATCGACTAATCCCATACCTATACACATAAAATAAAACGAATTGAATCCTTTTAAAAACGCCAACAAGTCTGATTAGTGGTATTTAATTTTAAACATAAAATGGCAGAATTACGATGAATATACTGAAAAAAATATTTGAAAACGTTTTTTTAACACAAAATTATTAGCAAACATTAAAAAAAATGTAGGTTTTATTGTTGCGGATTTCTGGTATTTCGTTTTCGTTAAGACCCATTGACGAATTTTCTCATTTTTGTAATCCTAAATTTACCACGAAATCGATTTGAACACAATTCCGCAACCGGACACTTGAGAAATGTTTACGCAGTTCGGTTGATTTTGGTTAGTTTCCACTAGTCGATTTGTAACATAAAAATTAATTTAAATTCAGCCTTTTATTAGAGGATATCTAATATTAATCTAATTGGTGAGTTGCAATATCCTATTTTAATAACAATTTTTTTATACGCAATAGTTTACTATAATTTTTTATTGTATTTTAATCCTTTACTTTGTCCAATTTTTATTTATAGTAAACTATAAGTAGTAATACTGCACCAGATTAAGAAAAACATTCTTTTTTATTTTTAAACAATAAAATTATTTTTTAAGGTTTAAAAAAAATTAATTATATTTACTATTATAAGTTGCACGGAAAAAAAGCTAAACTGGCTTAAAGATTATTAATCTTGAACCAACGATATGCTAGTTTCCCCATTCCGCAAATCTAGTTATACTTCTTTTCAAGAAAACCTTATCCTTAGAAGCTAAGAAAATGTATCTTTTATTTAAGATTTACCTAGTGTTGAAATTAAGATTATAACTACACTCCAGACAATTCGAGATAAAATCTTGTTTCTAGTACTACTTATACTTATTTGTAAATTAGCAAATTATTGCATTAAGTATAGAAATTCTTTGTGTACATGTAATAATTACTTTATTCAAGTGTAATATCACCTACTATAAAATAAAGCCTCTTCTTACTTTTACTACTAAATATCTGAAAGAGTATGAGACGGTCATCGCCAGGCGTATTAACGCAGTTGCAAGTTGCAACAATGACGTGCTCGGTGGTAGTATTTCCAGGGTGTCAAAACATTTCTAAATATCGATTGTTATCTAAAATACCTCTCTAAAAACGGTGGTTGTTTACAAATAAGCGCTGTTTAGAAATTGCGATATAAAAAAAGCCAAAATTCCGCCACTCGTCTATACCTATACATTCCGATATACCTACGCCCTGCCCCCCGATCCGCGTAGATCCTGAATTGCGTAGCAGTGTACAGGGTGCATCTCACTCGACGGGCGAGAAGCTCTTAGTTATGATTTTACCATTTGCGGTCAAAAAATAGCAATATAAGAAAATGTGTAGTATATTCTTTATAAGTAAACCAACTACACACTAGAGTTCGAATTAATTTTACACTTAAACTAGCGTATACCCGCAACTTCGTTCGGGTCGAATTAAATAAAATTTCCATTAACATACAAACTGGATAAAATTTTCTCACATTTGCCAAAAATAAAGTTTAAACGTCAAGCAGTTTAAGCAGAATCGTGGTTAATCAATTACTCAACTTTTTGGAACAACGTGTACGATTTTTTAAAAAATTTCAAAATATGTAAAAAAACAAAATAAATTATGCGTGTCTAGGCGTTTTCCCGAAAGACTAACCGTTTTTTAAATAACAAATATTGTAATATTTGAGGGGCGTTTTCACCCTGTTGGAATTTGAGATTCGAGAAACTCCGCCTTATCGAACCTCAACCCCACAGTCAATCTGTTTGCCAAAAATCAGCTTTAAACGTCAAGCAGTTTAAGCAGAATAGTGATAACTCAATGGTCATATTTTATGAAGCACCCTGTATATATTTTTAAAAAATCTTAAAATATGTAAAACAACATAATAAAATATACGTGTTTTAAGAGTTTTCCCGAAAAACTCACCGGCTTTTAAATAAAAAATATTCTAATATTTGAGGGTAGTTTCACCCCCTTAAAATTCGAGTTTTGAAAAATCCCTTCTTATCGAACCTCTACACCCTAAAGTAAATCCGTTTTCCAAAAATCGGCTTTTTACGTCAAGGGCTTTAAGCAGGATCGTGATTAATCAATGACCAGATTTTTCAAAACACCCTGTATACATTTTTAAAAAAACTGAAAATATTATTCTGAAAATTTTTCAGAATAAATAAATACCTAAATATTGAAACTTAATAACGTACTGAAACATACAGCGCCATAATATCTCGACCTCCGCCCGTTATGCTCGTAAGAGGTTGAAAAACAATGTATCTAAAACAACTGATGCGTTATTCTCCAACCTGTTTCGAACTTCCATCGACAATCGACCGATGCGGCAGCGTTCCTTTCCCACTCCGATTATCTCGACCGCCACCC